AAGCCATTTTCAGTGGATGTTAAAGATTCCTCAACTACCTCAGGGCATCTCTGATACCTCTAAATGCCTCTTGCAGTGCCTGACAGTTTAGGCAACAAGAGTCCTATCCTTTCTTTCTAATTCCTCCAGTTTCATTAAAAAAAAAAACTCAAACACCAAAAGCCCTCACCCTGCACCTTATTAGATCACTGAAATCGAGTGGAATCTGATAAAGATTATTTAATTCGGCAGTAAACAATATTCTTCATACTTTTGGTGATCTCAGTGCATGTAAGTCAATCAAGCTCTGAAATCTAGATTTCTGGCCCCTCATTCACTTTATATAAAATAACTAATAAAAGAAATAAACCACGAAATATAACTGAGGTGGAAACATCAAGAGCTATTAAGGATCTGTGTGAAATCTGCACGGGTTCTAGTATGAAATTCTGGACAGAGCTAGAGAAAGATCAAACATAGCAAACTCTTAAAAAGAGTGAGGTTTAATATAAGGGCATTGTTTATTTTGACTTAAGATTAACTACCCAAAAGGGAAACTAGAGGTTTCTCCAATGAAGCAGATGCGGGCCCAGGTTTGCCGGAGTAAGTCGCAAGTTAGTCCAAAAGAGCTTTTGCAGTTACACACACCTACTTCATATAGGTAGAAGCCAAATTAGAATTAAAATCATGACTTCCAAGGACTTACTAGTGATGTACAGCCAGGTAAATAGGATCCGTGTGTGTGGGCAGACTGTCTAGCTGCCCTTTGACGTTCCAGCCTACACAACCTATCTACAAACAGGCCAGTTGTGTGGAGTTAGGGTGGCCTTCAGTATGCCTGCAGAGCAAGAATTGAATTGGGTTCTCTGGGATCATAGCAAAACATCTGAAGTTTTTGGCCAGAACTCCACCTAGTGTTACGTAAGCATTTCTGGGGGCTGGAGCCAGCATCGATCCGCAGGAATCAGGCTGGGCTCTACCAGGAATCTGGAGAACAAAGATCAGAGCTCTTCTCGGAAATGGTTTTCCTGCTCTCTTTCAGTTTGCAAACAAATTTTTGATGGCAAGAGGACAGGAAACATAGCCTTTGGCAGAGCAAGGTGCTGTGGATCATTTGTGAACTTTTTGAATTTGATTCTTTCATTAAATAGCATTAAGTTCAAAGTGGCATGTCATTTTAAGCTTTAAAAAAAAAAAAAAAACTTAAAAATTTTTTTCTTTTTCCAGAGCTTTTGATCAGAAATTCCTCCCTACCCTCAGGAACAATTTGGTTAAATAAGCACCAGTTTGGGAATCTTCCCATCAGTCTTCCCCTTTCCCCAGAAAACATTTTTTTGTGAAATACTGCCTGGCTGTAGTATTTATTCCCTCCTCCAAATCTGAACATCCAAAGAGATGGACACCAACTTTCCAGTTCTCTTTCTGAGAGGAGGAGCTCCGTACAGAGTGGTAATGTTGCAGCCTAATAAATTACAGGATGGGAAATAGCTGGGACAGACTTACTTAGCTCATCCCATCCCTCCAAAATACCAAGTGTCAATGGATGACGTCAAGTCTGCGTGCTAGCTTTCAGTTTGGCCCGCTGAGCTGCTGTGGTCCAGTCATACCTTGGCTCTTTTGGGAGCTTTCACACCTTTGTGCACTTGACCTTTTCTTTATAAGACTTGGCCTCAACCTTTTATATATTTTTTAAAACACTCCACTCACTGGATGAGAATAAATCCTGATGCCAGGAAGCTGCTGCTGAAAAGACGGAGTGGAATAAAGCTTATACAAAAAAGACACTTTTGACAAGCTGTTTGCATTCTTGGGAGCTTCAGAAGTTCCTTCTGGGTTGGGAAGCAGATGTTCTAGAACATCTGGTGCACACAAATGCAAGGGGGGCTGTCAACACCCCGGTCTGCTATTGTCCTGCAGGCAACAGGGTAAGAGTGCAGGTAAACAACAGAAGGGTGGTAGGAAAAATGATTGTTCCTCTGAAAATGTCCAACCTTGCTCAAGAATTGTGCTGAAGGCCATGATTGCTCCTCCTGGGCACTGGACTCAGTGATGGGAAGGCACTGGGTTTTTTGTTCTGGCAGGGTTGGGTCAGAGGCAGCTGGCTCTGATGACAGCCGCATCCTTGCCTTGCATGCTACTGGCACTGCGATTTGGCATGCCTTAGCCATAGTAGCCCAGCTGGCTGGCTAGTTCCACCTGGAATTTGACTCAGCTAACTGTTCTTGCTAAGACCAGTCAGAAAAGAAAGCCCTCAAACCACAAATTTATGCCACACGAGCATTTTTTTGTTTGCCTTTTTTTCCCCCCCTGAAATCGAAAGCAATGACTTCTCCAGCTGATTTCAATTGTTTTCATTCACATGCATTTCCTGGACGATCTTAGTTAGATGTTCTTACTTTTAAAAAATACAATAACAACCCCCCTTTCTCCCTAAACCGCATACACTAGCACAAAACACTAGCAGATAGTATTTTGTTTTGGGTTTGAAGCCAAAGCTGGGAATGCAGTTTTACGTTATTGCTAGTCACAGTAACACCAAGAAATATCAGCTGAAGTTAGGACACTGCTGAAAGAAGCTTTGAACGTGAGGAGGAACATATTTCAATGGCAGGCTTTGTGCGGCTCTATCAATGTCACTTAGGGTTGCACTCCTTTGTTTGACATGCAAACACTCTGTAAGTGGCTCCTGTTTGAACGGCATAAAAAACAGTAAGTAGCATTGATAACTTCACTTTTCCTCCACGATCTGCACCAGTATATAACAATTCGAATTACTGATCAGCTGAGGGTCCTCTGCTGAGAATATTCTCAGGCATCAACTCTATGTATTAATCCACTGCAGTGTCTTGGGGTGACCTGAACGCTAACTTACTGCACGTGACATCACATCTTGCTTTCCAGTCTACCAAGTACTCCCATGGTTGCAGTGACTTGAAACAACTTCTAGAAGAAGAAAGGCTTTGCAGATGACAAATTGTTTATGTACTGAGAGTCTGGGACCACTAGCTTACATTATGAATGGAGATCATCATCAGACTGATTGATGAAAAAAAGACACTTTGATTGGGAATGCTGGGGGGGAGGAGGAGGGGGCTGCAGTTTAAAAACTTCCTTCCTGACCTAAATGTAACTGCCAAGAACTAGCTGCACTTGAACCCTTGCTCATCAGTCCTATCTCATATACTTGGATGCATCCTCCAGAGTTAGTCTTAAAATTGACTTTCTGCTGAAAGCTCCTGAGTGCCATCAAAACGTCAGTTGTAAAAAGTACTAAAGAATCGCACTGAAGTTTTCCTTATCAATTGTTGTCACTTGCAGTTGTCACATTTCTTAGCAAAGTTGAAGTTTTCCTTATCAATTGTTCTTGCAGTTGTCACATTTCTTAGCAAAGAGTTATGGTTCCATAACAGAGTCTCCTTATTTTCCAGCGGAAGAAAATTCATGTGAAAGCAAACTTACATGCTAGTAGGATGTTCAGAACAGTTTGTAGGGTGCTTCTCTTTGATAAAACAATGTCAGGAATTGTTTATATGCGTACAAAGAAGAATAAAATGGTCAAGGATATTCCAAAAAACTGTTGCTCTCATTTCCACTTACAGCAACTTTTTCTAACACAAATAAAGATCTGATTCCAAGGCAGTAGTCAAATAAAAAATTCTTGATTGTTCTCAGTGAGCCCTGGGTTCCAAAGACACTTTGGGCCAAGTCTCTGTTCCTACAGAATCAGTAATTTCATTCCAGTTATGTTTATTTGCACCAGACGGGAATCTGACTTCCCCAGCTTTAATGGAATAATGCTACCCTGCACTGGTTGAAAAATCTCAGCTGGTGTCTGCTATACCAAGTGTTTTAATGAATATGTCATTCCTCACCAGGTTCAAGGTTCAAAGTCTCCTTGAATGGCAAAGAGGTAGGAAAGCCTTTCTCTGAGAGTATGAATTATTTCTGTTATTTAAATATCAGTTTAAAACAAATTGATGACGCAATTTTTATCAAATTGGACATCACAGAAATATATAGGAGAGAAGAAAGTTGTGCACTGAGCTGGGTAGGACGAGGCAGGGAAATATAATGATCAATGACAGGTAGGAAGGATCACAGATCCGCAACAGGAAGGAGTGAGAGGAGGAAGAAAAGACAACAGTGGGAGCAGAAATCCTCTGCTGCTACCCATCCCAGCTCATTCTGCTAATAAACAAAAGAGTTCGTCCTTTATGAATTGCATCAGACTTAGTAGCTGATAAGAGAGTTATTGATTTGTACTTATTCTCGAAAAAAAGTGTTGTTGCCCTTCTTTTTTTGTTTACATTTGATTATTACAATTGGAAGTGAAAATTAGTAACTCAGTTCTTTTATTAAAGTGATAGGTGAACAAGTGGCCACTAAAACAGAGAAATTTCCAACTTTGACCTGATCAGTAGTAGACATGACCATAGTCAGGCTTATAGGTGATTTCTTGAGAGGCATGGAGGAACGCCCGACCTTAGTGAGCAGCAATGAAGAGAAAGGAGACAAAATGTCCACACGGGGCTCAACTCAAGGGCTGAGCCACTTTTTGTAGCCTGCAAACATTTATTCTACTTTGTGCGAAGCTAAGAGGTTTTATTTTCATACTGAGCATTTGGAAATCTTGTTTGCCCAGAAACTGGTCATAAGGTGTTACTGCAAAGCCAGATTGGTCCAGCCACTTCCAGGTACCCTGACAGAGTGGGTGAAACTCATTCCATCTCTCCTCGAATCTTTGCAAAGTAAATGTCTCCAAATGAGCTTATTATTTAGAGCACCCTCTATAGTCTGTGGAGATTTAGTCAAGAAGTGATAAATTTCAAAGGATATGTCAAAAATACGCCACATGAATCCCTCCTTTTCTTGTCTCTTTTCCTTTCTTTTCTTTTCCTTTCTTTTCTCTTTTCTTTTCTTTTCTTTTCTTTTCTTTTCTTTTCTTTTCTTTTCTTTTCTTTTCCTTTCCTTTGTTTTGTTTTGTTTTGTTTTGTTTTGTTTTGTTTTGTTTTCGCTGTTAGGCCTCTGCAAACACCAGCCATCTTGTATAAAGAGAAATGGGAGATGACATTGAAGTCAAAGGATGTAGTAAATGTTGTGCTGAAGAGACAGAAGGGAAGCTATTTTCTTCCTTTGTGCTCTGCTATGAATTAGCCAGTGCTGCTTTCCAGTCTGTGCCTACTTCTCCTTTTCGGGAAATTCTGGTCTCTATTCTTGATACAAAGGCTTAGATCTGTACTTCTGCTTCCTGGTGTGTAGTTGCAGCAAAAACAGATGCCTGGAGGGTGTGGATTGGACTCTCTCTGCTTGAAGATCCACTGTCTGCATTGGAAACAGCTTGACTTCGCAATGCCTGGAAGCCACAATCCGACAGAAAGAGGGAGCCAGCTAGGGGCATGGCAGCCCCTAATTCAGTAGCTAAAATGGTGGGAATGCTGCTGATGAGGTGGAAACTGGAGATAATGACATGCTTTGGAGAAATAACCCACAGGAGGGTTCCCGGCTGCATTCTTGACACTTTCTTTGCCACCAGAGTGGTTCTAGGAAGGTGGATTATATTAGAGAATCTGCCCCAGAGAGGCCTGGATATCTCTCACTGGGCCATACATTCGCTTCTGTTGACATGGCACCTAATACTTAAATAATTGTATGTATCGTGGTGTCCAGAAATAGCCTCTGATGGGGATGTCACATGGCAAAGCAGCCTGTGGCTTCAAGGACATCACAGTCCAGATGTGAAGAAGCTGTATTGGTTCCAGCAGCTAACTTTAGCTTAACCTCATGAAAACAAAAATGCTCTTGAGAGGACAAGGTTTTTGTTGGCTCTGTCAAGCCTAAAGGCATCCCAGTAGGCAGGTCAGGCTTAGCCTTCATTATGGGAACCTTGGGTCTGATCCAGAGCCTGCTAAGTCAAAGGGAGTCTATCCATTGACTCCAGCAAGGCTTGGATCTGATCCACCGGGTACGGGAGTGTAGACCTTTGCCCATGTTGGAAAACATTACTTCCCTCCAATCCTCCAGTGTGTAACAATTTTAGAGCTCCTGCCTTTTTTTTTGTTGTGCTCTCTTTTTTTTTCCCTCTCTCTTGCTTTCTCGCCTTTATTTTTATTTTATTTTTTTTTCTTTCTCTCTTTCTTGGCAGCAGCTGATCTGGAAAAGTTAGAGGAGAAACCCGATCAGACTGTTTTCTTCAGTCATACACTACTGTTGGTATTGTCTCGGGTAACCGGGCTGCTGTTTGTTAACCATCATTACCTATTTCAAGTGGAATTGTTATCTGGAGCTCCAGGTTCATCAGGCAAACTGGTGCAGTGCAACACAGATACTGCTTTTTATTTTATTGCTGTGGCTTTTATTGTGCTTTTACAGGCAATATGGGTGAAGTCCAGGCCCAAGTCACTGCAGGTGTTCTACCAAAGTCCATAGCTAGAGGCCAGCTGCAAATTTTCACCTCCTGGAGTGAGGAACTAGTGCTTCAGAGCAATGTCACTGACTCCTTGCTCTTCCCACGCTTTCCTCTGTATCCGATACATGTAGCTGCATCTGGAGATATTTGCTGGGGTCCTGATATCCTCTGACTCTCTGGACTGAAGTCTTGTAGCAGTGTGCCTTAGCTCTTGAGTTTCCTTTCTGAACACGACTGATCCTTCTCTGCATTTTTCCCTGATATGGTCAGGGCATATATTCGGATGAAGGAATAATGAAGCAGCTGGCAGGTCTGACCGTAGAATCGCTGGTATATCTGAGTGCCTCAGAGTCATTCCCTTGAACATCCCCACCACGAGCCCGTCAACACACTTCCCCAGCTCCTTGGAGACCTGTAGGACAGGAGAAAGATGAAATTTTTTGTTGTAATTTTGGATATGCAAAAGTTAAAGGCTCAATTAGGTTATCTAAATAGAGGAATCTTGTGTCATTGGAGGTGCCTTAGAGAAGACATAGACATGGGGTGGAAGGTAGGACATAAGACTTGCAGGAGACCTGCATCGTCCCAGAGTAGTAATTTGGGGCCAGGAAAGATACCTTAAGGGATTAAATCACCTGTGTGCAGGTAACCAAATTACCTCAAGGCTGCATAGAAAGCCTGTGCCAGAGCAGAAACCACATCTGAATCTTATAAGTCACAACCCTTCACCATCATCGGTATACGGCTACACTTAGCACTTCCGACTCAGAGCTGGGCCTGAGCGTAACCAGAGGTCCTCTATCCAAAACTAAACGTCTTGTTTCGTTTATGATGCAGAATTCAATTAACTTAACTTGACACGTTCTAACTAGTTGGCTAACTTTCTTTTAGAGCCACTGGAGAAAAAGAGACACTTTCAGAGTTCACTGAAGGATTAATTTCACTCTCTGGGGGTTCTTCTGCTTTCAGTATGAAGCTACATACTAGAATTACCTTACCAACTTTTTCCACTTGAAAAGAAACTTGAACGACTAGCTTTAGTGGAAATGCCTATTTTGGAACAGGTGAATCCCAGCAAACATGAAATCTCATATTAGGAACCCTCAAATCTGTACAGTTTTCCTATCCCAGACTACAAGGCACGGTTCTATAGCACAGTAATCCCATATCTGAGAGTGCTCTAAGAGACCTTCTATCACCACCTCCACGTCTGCTTGAAACATTTACCTCCATTCCCAGGGCAAGAAGGATTATGGAAGCAGCCCAGCGGCCTGACTCATTTCCTTCTTTAAATGGGATCCTCAGGAAACAATCCTGGAAATATCTCCATGGAATTTACAGTCCTTCATGCATCCAGGCTCTAGTTCTCCTGCTGAGCTGTGCTTGAGCTGAATAAAACATGTCCTCAGGCTGCTTTTTTTCATGCTTGATTGCTTGCAGAGCAGCTTTTAGCAGCTGCACACAATAACCCCTGACCTCTGCTTCATTTGCTACATGGGGTCCTGGTTTTGAACAATGTAGAGTCTAATTAAACCAGTGCAAGAAGTTTTTGGTTTGATAAGTGACAAAGCTAAGTAATTGCAATGACATACCAAGGTCCTTTTATTGAGTCACCACGTAATAGATGGCTCAGTCATATGGACATTTCCCTGGCATGCAAGCTTGGGGGCTGTCTGGAAACTTCAAGGATTTCGGCCTACAGACTCCACAAGTCCCATTTATAGAGACTATAAGAGCCTGATTCACATCCTGCTCTTCTCCCCAGCAGCCCACTCTGGCTTTTACACATTTGTGGCTGCATAATATCTCCCCACTGACAGCCGGTGCCTAAGATGGATGCAGAGCTTTATCAGGGATCTCCTGGTTGCAGAGTGAGAGAAAGTCTGCCTCCAAAGGAGTCCCACTTAGCAGTCCTCCTAAAGTGTATGGAGGAGTCTCTCCACACAGACACACATACCCCGTAGAGCTGGACTTACTTGTCAGGGAGCACGGTCCTTCCTGGCTGTGAATAGACTCTCCGATTTCATGAGGTCAGGACAGCAGTTTGTAGAAAATGATAAGACCAAGGCTTCTCCTTCTGCTTGAGTGACCTATATCAAATAGCGGAGGTATATCTTAGGTAGATGTGATCTCAGGAGAGGAAACATTAGTGGCTTAATGTTAGGGGTTAACATCCAGCAGGGCTGATAAGCAAACATGCTGTTGGAAGGGCCTTTAGGATGGACTGGACTATCTGTGCTAGATCTGCTTCCCTCCAGTCTCACTGTTTATTAGCGTAATATCTCTTTGGCAGATTTTATTCCATGCATTTCTCCTCTCCTGTATTTTTCATACACTGTTCCTTACACACCTCCTTCACTTTCCAGGACAGTTCAGTAGCATTGTTTTTCCCTCTGATGTCTGAATAAACAAGTATAATAGTCACAATCCTTTAAATATTAAGGCAGAGCTGGGAAACAAAGGAAGGAAAAACAAATTAAAGCAGCTATGCCACTTACGGCCAAAACAAATCAAGGAACAAGGCTCTGACTATTTTCATACTCTTCTTTTTTGAAAGTTTCGTTTCTCTGTGCAGAAGCTACTGAAATAAAATCTGCACTAAAGGAGCTTCCAATGCAGAGCAAGTTCACTTTTCTTTGTTATGTTTCTGAAGAAATAACTGGCACTTCTTTCTCTGCTGAGCCTGCAAGCACTGAGGGGCTGGTCCTGTTAGAATTATTTTTCTATGTGTCCTGAAAGAACAGATTTAGGCAATTCACTGTGGCGTATTCAATGCACCAGGATGCTAGGTAAAGAATGGAGGCAACTCCCTCAATACTGAAGTGTCATCTGATGATTAGACCTACAAAAATGCATGTCTAATTCCCTGTACCATCACACACCTCTTTAGGGGCTTGGAACAATCAACTGGATTAGTTTTATCTCAACTGCCTTAAATGTCTAAGTATGTGCTATTGACTCCTGCTCACTTCATACCCAAAGCAGGGCTAGCATTTCTACGTGACAACAGGTGCCACCTAACATAGATGTCCTTTTCCCCAGGGATCTTGCTGGAACAAATGACAGTGATGTAACTATTTGCTTCTAAAGGCACAGACTGGCATCTCTGCCCAGGAGAGGGTTATAAGTGTGAATGTCATTATCTCATTATTCCCAGTCCAGTTCAAGGAAAGAGTTCAGAAAGATCCCCTCTTTAATGTTATCTGCTAGTTGATGCTTGTCCCCGTGCTCAGGGCCCTGAGAGCCACACAACCTCTGGGGAAGGTAACTCTCCCCGTTTTCCCTCTGGAGAGCTGCAGCTGCAGAGCTGGGTACCTGCCTTTTATAAGGTGCAATTCTCAGTGTGGTAGCATTTCTGTCCCTTGTGAGTCTGCGACTGAAATCGTAAAATGAGGAAACTGAGATGCTGCTGAGATCCGTGCTCAGGGTAGCCCACCCCTTGGGAAACTCTTGCATCCCTCATCGTCAAAATCTAGCTTCTCGAAGCCAATTATTCTCCTGCATAGAGCAAATATGAGCCAGAACAAGGCTGAATGGACGAACCAAGGGGTAACAAAGTCCTTCTTTTGACCTTCTGGTTAATGAATATTTATTATTTGATGAATTTTTCTCAGAATAGCTACCTGGGGACTCAAATGTGTGCACACAGGTGGCATTATGTGGCTGTCAACTGACATTTGGGTGCCTGATCAGACATATTCATTAGCTGTGCAGGGGACCTGCTCTGAGCTGGTGACATTCCCCGCCGTTTGCTGAGTGCCATGGTAATACCTGTGCTTTTGGCTGCAGATCCTCCTGGATCCTTCTCAGTGCTCTGGGTTACCACAGATTCAAGTCTGAGTCACGGAGCCAGATACGACAGAAAACTATTTGCCTGATCTGCTTTAATGCAAGCTCAGTTCTACCTGTTCCCTCAGATGCTGAAGCAGGCTGCGTAGTACTTTTGATTTAGGAATAGAATGTGTTGGCTTGAAAACTTCCTGATATACTTGAGACCTGTGGGACAGAGTAATCTCTGGAAAGGGATAAATGCAGGTGAACAACAGCCAGGAGGAACTGGGGTAATCAAGGCACTATTCATGGACCTGGCCTGATCCTCCTCTGAGGTTCAGCAACTGGATTTGTGAGTGCATTTGCTATAACAAACAATGCAATTTCCTCATAGTCATGACAACAGCAGGGCAAACACATGAGACTGATTATGTTACAATGAGCACCGCAAGGCCAGACATTTCACTTTAGCTTTAACTTCAGAGCAGACTTTCTGGAGGAAACAAGGAAGTCAGCAGGGCCTGGAAACTAAGGCAACGAACTGAGACTCAGGAGATTTGAGTGTATAACTGGCTCGTAGGAATTTAAAGACCAGAAAGGACAATTACATCTTCTAATCTGATACGGAAAACATAGGCTAGAAAGTTAAACACTTACTCTTCTATGGAATCCAATAACAGGTGTTTACCTTGGGAACCTCTTCCAGACAGTTATTCATTCCTGAAGTAGGGGAACTGCCTTTTCCCGTAGTAGACTGTTCCTGCAGTAAATCACCATCATTTTTAAAGGTGCTCCATTTCTCAGATGAATTACTTTGGCTTCACATTCCAGACACTGGGATTTATTAGATCTTTTTCTGCTAGCTTGAAGGGGCCTTTCAAATCCAATGTGTTTTTTTCTTGCTGGAGTACTTACACACAAGCTCAGCAGGGTTTGATTTTGGTCAATGGATGTCATATAGGCACTCTTTCCTTTGCTACAGAGGGACATGTTTCTCTTTCTCTCACTCCGTCTCTCCTTTTCTTTCTCATGGCCCAAGACTGCAATCAGTGATTTTTAAGCTATAACTCCTTCGTAATGTCCTTCGTTTGTAGCAGTGGGTAATGACATCCCTAAGCTCTGTCAAAGATGTGAACGTACATTTTGTTTGGTTCCCACTGATGTCCCTGTCTTCCCAGTGTTTCAGCCCATTCCCCTATCTGCAGCTGGAGCTGAGCTTTGCAAGCAGTCACACAGCATCTGAACCTGTTGTTCCTGTCTCCTCTCCAAGCTTTTCCTTGCTGCTTTGGGTGGGAGTTCTTCCATACACAGACAGCTCAATTTATATGTCTTTCCGCAGGTGTGTTTACATGAGATGAGAGTGCAAACTCTGCTGAAGTAGACACCACAGGAGGGATTGAGTTGCTTAAACATAAATACGAATAACTATTTATAAAATTAATAAGCCCAGTGTTATTTTAGACACTGCAGGGTATCCCACCTAGCCTCCACTCAATAGGCTGGAAGAGTGCTTCTTCGACAGCCCCACGCAGTTGTTTTGAATACATTGGGGCACACAGAATCACAGGATCGCAGAATGGTTGACGTTGGAAGGGAACTCTAGAGATCATCTAGTCCAACCCCCCTGCTCCAGCAGGGTCACCTAGAACACATTACCCAGGATTGCAGCCAGATGGCTTTTGAACATCTCCAAGGATGGAGACTCCACCACCTCTCCTGGCAACCTGTGCCAGTGCTCAGTCACCCTGACAGCAAAGAAGTTTTTCCTCACGTTCAGACGGAACTTCCTGTGTTTTAGTTTGTTCCCGCTGCCTCTTGTCCTATCGCTGGGCACCACGGAGAAGAGTCTGGCCCATCCTCTTGACAGTCTCCCTTCAGATGCTTGTACACACTGATCAGATCCCCCCTAAGCCTCCTCTTTTTGAGGCTGAGCAGGCCCAGCTCCGCCAGCTCCCTGAGCCTTTCCTCGTAGGAGAGATGCTCGAATCCCTACATCATCTTAAGAGCCCTTCGCTGGACTCATCAGTAGACAGAAGAGCAGCTCAAAGGACAGGCTGCCTTCCAAGTACTTTTGTTATCAAGTATTGTATTTTGGACATGAAAATAACTTTGGAATACTTGTTAGAAGCTTGACAAATTTTTCTAGTATATATTAAAAAAAATCCTCCCATATGCAAAAGTGGAAGTAATGCAGATCAGTTGTTTTCTGTGTTTCCAGAGAGAAGATAAAGAAGCTTACTTTGGGCGGAGGAAAGACTTTTCTTAGGTATGAAACTACAAATGCTAAAGGTAGTTATTTCCTCAAATCTCCTTCTCTGGTAGTGTTTAAAGACAGGTCAGAGACACATCTGTTAGAAATAATTGTGCTTCCTCAGAGAATAGAGCTGGATAAAGTGATTTCATAAGATCCCTTCCAGCCCTGAATTTCTATGATTATTTTATGCTCGTCCTCCTGAGTTTTGGTCTGTTTTTAGAGAATGACTTAGCCTACTATTTAAGGACCACATAAGCTGCATCTTGACCAACATCACAATATCACACAACTTTAACTTCTTTGGATGTACGAGAAAGTTATGTGCATGGTTCCCAGGGTAATCTAGTTGTAGATCTCTCGCTATTCAGAGCCACCTCTCCTATGGCTGCTACCATTTTCTCTCAGCTGAGTATTTGTCAAGTGGTTATCATTTAAAGCTAGGATGGACTGTTTTCTATACTCTTCTCTAAAACTACGTTACTACTCATCAGGTATTAACCCATGCTTTTGGCTCACTACATCTATAGGATTAGTCAGAAAAAGTCAGAACTCTTATGAACTTACAGGGCATTTTCCTGGAGGAGGAACACATGGGTGAAGAAATATAAGATTATAATTGCATCAAGGGATCTCATAAAGTTGTGGAGTACTGGCTAAGGATTCTGCATTTAATGCCCAGCAGCAGACTTCAACAATAGTACATACTTTTTTTGGTTTTGTTTTGTTTTTCCCTATGATCTGGAGTAAATTCATCCTTTTGAATGTATGGACTTTCCCTTCTTTGAGTAGGCTATGACTCATAGTCTCACCTTCTTTCTCACAGTGCTTTCCTAAAAATGAGGTTAGCTGTAAAAACATAATCAGCTTTTAACAGAGGAACTCCAGGTCCCTGAAAAGAAACTCCTGCTCTGTTATTAGGGGACAACTATTGCACTGTATCTATCATGCAATAGGCCTCCCTGCATCTACAAAACATCTGAGTCCCTCCAGATCATCGTCGGAGGCCAGACAGAGGACCATAGGGCATCTCAAATGACACCAGACATCTCTGTCAAGGTACCTGAATAAAACCCTTTTTTTCGGTGAAGACCTGCAATTAGGAGCTTAAAGTTAGGTACCTTAATCTCAAGGTGAACCCTACCGTGCTCAACATTTAAAGGGATTCTGTGGTAGACATACCATCATGGCATCACTTAAGTGGTGTCAGCTATTAAATAGCCCCAGTTAAGCATTTGAAATTAGATTTTCATCTGAATTAGACTGGCTTTGGTTTCCAGTCACTGAGTTTTCTTATTCCTCTCTTTTGTGGGGTTGAAAAAAAGAGTTTCCTATAACAGATTTCTCTGTAGAGGTGCATGTTACTGAAGCATGAGTCACCTCTTATGTTTTTCCTGAAAAATAAACGACTATTATTAATCATATGTTTATGGCAGCAGCACTGAGAAAATATAGAATACAAGCCAGTCCCTGCTTAAATAGCTTAAGGTCAAAATAGATACTCTTGAGGAAAAAAAAACAAACGAAATGTGAAATATTTTACAGTGTTTAGCATCAGTCCATTAACAAGGTAACCCTGACACTGACTAAGGAAACCTAGAAAACCATCATCTGCTACAAATAAATGATCAAGTACCATTGACTTCACAGGCCAACGGGACCAACAGAGCATTTGGCCTGAAAAGTTGAAGCTGAGAAGTAAGCCACACTATTGGTCATTTTTAGACGTGGATTAATAAAAGCAGATGTTGTAATGCCTCGTCTGCTATGAGTAACTGGTAATTACTTTAAGGACATCCATCATTGACTGCTGTGACGAACTAACCTTTGTAAATGAGTTAAGAGATAGGTCATTACTCTTTCAGAAATCTTTTTCTCATTATTAGGATATTGAAAAAATTAGCTGGTCAGTGTGGGATGTCTTGGCCATTCCTTATAATAGTCTTTTCAAATTGGACTTAGATAGAATATTGGTTTTCATGCAGGAACTTATAGCATGCTTTGGTTTACAAGTCTTTTGGTATTAAGGAAGAGCCATATTGATGTTTACCAGGGTCTTCGGAGAATTCTGAAATATATCCTCTTTGCAAAGTCATTTTCATGAGCTCATGGATGGTTTCAGCCCAAACATCCACAGCAGAAAAATGTCCACATGGAGATTTAGCAAGTAAACTGTCTCCTCTTCAGTCAGCTGGGATTTGGAAGGAGAGATTAAGGAGTCAATTGCATTACCGTGTTACTGCTAAGTAAAGCTACGGGAGGAGTTCGTTGGTTAAAGATTAGACCAGTGGTTAGGTCGCATGGGTTGTGGAATGGGAAAACAAAGTCCCATATCTTGTGACGAAGTGCAGGTCCCACCTCTCTAATCTATATCAGAACTGGCAATGCCATTTACTCCTATGTGCAATCCTATCTACCTCCACCTTGAGCAGATGTCTGGCTTTTATGGAGGTGACAAATTCAGTACCAGAACGTCACTTTTGTGGTGGCCAAGGTCTTCTAATTCCAGCCTATGGATATCAAATGCCAGATTATACCTACTTTTTTCTATGGCAGTGTTATTTTTCAGTTTAAAAAGATTTCCTCTAAATCTAGTTTTTTTTTCCTTCTCTTTCATACCTTTATAGGGAGCAGTTACATCCTGCCTCAGTCTTCCTTTGCTGAACTAAACAAACTGGTCTTTTTCATTCTCCTAAGACAGGCTTTACTTTCCCGGATATTACATTAAAGAGGGCAACAAAAGTAACTTAGACGCCACTTCCTAATCTCTTTCCTTCAGATGGTCTTTCGATTTTTCTTACTTGGGAGATTAGCCATATGATTTTTTAAAATGAGTTATCTGCATAATTAAATGCTTTCTCTGAGTGCCTCATCTTTTTGTGCAGATATATTTGTGCATACAGATTTCCAACTCCCTCCATCATTGTAAAATGCCCAGTTTGGATAGAGACACCCAGTACAACCCGATCTGTTCCATTTGCCTGCTGGGGGATAGAGGGCTGATGTGACGCCAGGTTAAACATTCCTTCCAAACTGAGCTGTCAGGAAAACATGAAAAACCCTGGGAGGTAAAGCCAGCTGCAGTTCTCAAGATAGCTACACGGCACTTCCTGGTACAAAGGGATCCTGGCAGCGGTCGCATATCCATTACTTATTCCTTGCAGGAGCTATCTGTATCCAGATGCTTTGAATGGCAGCCTTTGCTTGCATGAACCCACATCCTAAGGACAGGTCAGCAGAAGTCACAAGAAAACAGTTTATTTACCACGGTAAGGTGTGTGAAAAGATTTTTTAAGGACAAATTAGACTTCCTGCAAACATTCTAAAATTTTCCTGTACAGGTTCCTCTTCTACAGAGCTAAGAAATTTAATCAAGGTTCGGGTAGATTTTGATTGCCAAAATTTGTATGCAACCTGTTATTCCTCAGCCACCCCTGAACTCAACTCAGTCTTGCCATTTGTAGCCTGAAAGTTTTCTTAGTCCTTGCTGTTTGCCTTGTCTGAAATGGCTAACGGCCTAGCTTCCACCTGTGTGCTATCAAGAGCCAGAAACTAGGAAGAGGTGCCTGTGGTTTTCGAGGACCTAGTGTCACTGGCCGACTTGAGGTAACCTCGAGATATCTCAGCAGAAGTGACTCCAGCACAAAAGACATAGCTACCTTCATTAATAGGCTAATGGAGCGAGTTTCAAGAGAGTCCTGGAGATCTGCAGGGATCTGTGAATGACCTCTAAGAGATCAATACAAGCAAATCCTATTGTCATTAGACTTGGATTCTCTATGCAGTTTTCATACTTCTCAATGTTGGGAGGTTGTCAAATTGGTAAGGCTGAAAACTGCTGGCCTTGTTTAGAAAACTTACCCATAAAGCAGGACACTGCGGTACAAGCATCTTCCACTTGAAGGGAATCAAGCCTCAATCTCTCACTTTTTGTGGAATTTAACTTCAAGGCCCCTGGACTCTTCAGTGCAGTGGTGCCATCTTAAAAATGCTGAACCCAGAACAAAGTGCAGGAGAGAACAGACAAGTCATGAAGTCTGCAGAACAAGTATGAGGAAACATGGATTTTGATCTAATTGGTAGGACACTCAGTGGGGTCCCATGTCTCTTGGGTGAATGTGCTGGCTGTGGTGAGATGGCATCACCACACTGACATTGTTCAGAACAAAAGAAAGCAGAAAGAGCTTCGTGTTCTTTTAGATGGTGTCTCTTAGACGAGGTCTTTAGGCTTTAGTTTCTAAGTAGAGCCATCTTTCATCACAGCTCTGGCTCAGCTCTTTAAGACCCAGAAAGTGATGGGATTTTAGGTATGTTCTTTGCATATTCTTTCCCTATTCTTTCCCCACGGCTGTCCTCTTTTGGGAGGACACGTAAGTTTTAGATTGATCATTTAAGTCATCTAGCTTTGCACAGGGAACCCAGACACTAAGCTTTGAGTGGGTCCCGAAATCTGAACCCCAGGCAGTAGAGAACCTCAGATACGAGCACTGAGGGTTATACTCCCATTACTTTGGCAGCCCTGATTGATTTTGGAGTGAATTCCCACATTCAAGTGGCTGATGTCATTTACGCCCTCACTGCAGGTAGGGACAGGACTTGAGAGCAAACCAACCTCCCTGTGCCTGAGTTTTGCAGCCTGCAAAGCCAGCTGGCTCTCTCCAGACTAGAGCTGGGGGCAAGTTAACATAAAGGCAGTGTGGATGGCCCGGGAGCCTGGGCTGTGATGCTGGCTATGTTCTTGAGCTAATGTGCTCCATCCTCCCTTCCAAAAAAAAATCTGAGGGAAGCATTGCAAAAAGACAAAACTTTTCCATTGTTATTTAAAGAGTCAAAGCAGTTTTTGCTTGCCCGTGTCTTGTGAAATCAGTTGAGGGAGAGCCAACCTTATACAAATGTATGACTGCTTTAAATGCTCCTATACTGTGTTGAGAACTGCATCTTGCTCTAGTCTCCTGGGTCACGAGAAGGCCAGATTGGTGGGTGGAGTCAGGGAGTTTCTTGTCCTGATTCTGTAACTGATAATTAAATAAAGCTTGTCCTCAGATTTATTTCTGGAGCCACCCAGAATTTGATCTCTCCTTTTGTACAAACAGAGAGTCCTGAGAGTGCTGGACTGGCACTCAGGATGCATGGTACTCTTCCCTCCCCTCCTTCTGGCCTTCTGGACATAAATTCTTCTGCCTGTATTTCAAAATCCCCACTTATAAAAAGAGGTTAATGAACCTGAACACTTTTGTAAAGTGTTTTGAATGCTACTGATGAAAAGCCGGGTATTAATAATAGGCATTAATACTATTACAGCATAAAGGAGTTTTCAAAAATGTTTCAAAAGATTTATATCCACTTAAGCTTCACCAGCTTTTATTCTAGATGGGCCAGTATATAGTTTGGCTTCACTTATGCCATAATTCAGATCTCTCTTGCCCTTTTAAACTAGATCTTTTCAGCTATGTGCAGCTTTTTCAAGTCTGTATCCTAAACCCATGCCTGGAAATCCTCCATGCCAGGTTCTTTTTTAGAAGAATCACTGCCACCTCATCAGCTCCTATTGATCTTGACATGGTGATACATTTGTTTTTCTCTCTCTGAGGATGCTATTTATGCCATCCAATCCATTAAATAAATTGAATAGCCAGCACTGGGAGATCATTACCCTGTCAGTTCTCAGAATGCGTTCCATGGTGCTTCTCTGTCCCAGAAACCACTGATCAGAGGGCAGAAACCCAGAACATATGTATTAAATTATCTGCCTGCTTCACACAATCCTATTAAGCATTGTTCTTCTTTGTCCGGCACACTTCATCCCTGCCAAAGCCCAAAAGGCCTAGATTAACTTTATTATTATTAGCCTTTTGGATAAGTCTAACTGAACAACGTATTAAAGCAATTCTGGGCTATGTGCAGCAGGACATCCTCACGCTACTGCAAGAAGCCTGTGAGCCGTCTGTAGCCGACCTTTGTGGAAGCAAACCTCTAGTTCACCGTTGATGAACTGGGAAGGAGTCACAGAACAGCAGTATGATTAAGGAGAGGCTGAGTTCTGGGAATGATTCAAAGAGCTGCGTATCTCAGGCTGGCTTTGATGCCACAAAAGCCGCATCAATAGTTGGATAACAAGGGGCCTGTAGTTCAGCTGACCCAGTCTTGTGAACACACACACACACACACACACACACACACACACACACACACACACACACAGTATTTGGTTACAAAGACTATTTGCAAGCTGAAATGGTTCCCAAGAGAGTAAGAATATTCTTGCCAAGTTCCCAGCCAGGACGCTTAATAGTTGCACCTTAGATGTTAGCAAGTCTGTGATCAACTAACAGTCATATATTGATATATGTTGGAAAGTTTTATATGTGAAAGAAATTATGGCCACTGATTGCTATTTTTTGAGAATAGGCCAGTGCTGTGACGTTTTCTTGCCATCTACCCTAGGTAAGGGGCACCGAAGAAAAATTTCTCTTGTGGAGCTGAGGTTGTAGCTGGTGAGTCCAAGGCTCCTGGAGAAGCAGAGCTTGGAGGGCCATCCAGCAACCACTGCTTGGCTACTGCTCATGCAGAAGGACCGGCCATCCAAATGTTGCTCCCAGTGGGAGAAAGGGGTTCCTCAGGGCAGGAAATACGCGTTTCACTATACTGTCCTTGCTGAATATCGCTACAAAGTGATGCTCATAATGTCATGCGAACCCTAACTTCTGCTGAAAGAGATGCTGACAGACCCCCAAAGTGCTCCTCACCCTCTGCAACCTCTCATTTTCAGCACCTCTTTTCAGCCACAACACTATTACAACATAGGATCCGTAGGAGGAAACAAATCCAGCTGAAAATTTATCCCAGAAAAGGGAAAGGATGATGACTTACCAGGCAGCCACAAAATGAGTAATGCTGATAGGAAGAAGATAGCTGCTTTCACCAGGCAGGTGTTAAGTTAGGTTAAATTATCATTTAGCCCTGACCTTCACTCTGATTTTTCTCTGCAAGGATTTGAGAGGAACACCTCTGGCATTGCAATGCCTTCTCCCTCAGGTTCACGTAGACTGTTGCTTACCTCAGTTCAGCACAGACTCCCAGTTCTCCCATCCTGGCAGTCAATTACACCTAAGAGCCTGGGATTTTTGGCTTCTTAGGTGTTTTGTGTTCATCTCCTTGTTTTATTTTAGGATTTTATTTATTTTTTTTTTGGAGCAAAGTGAGTATTACGTGAAATAAGCTGAAATGTTTCTGGCACTTTGATCCACCGGAATTAATTTGACAAGCTTAGGTTTTGTTTTTCATTTTTGTTTGCATAAGGATGATAACTTGTTTTTCTACTCGGAAAAATCAATTTTGCTTGCAAGAGGCCATGTACCAACCGCTGATGAGGAAAGCCCACGTGCTGAAATCACAGGTCCCATTGCTGTGGCAGCTAGTTACATAGAAATGAGTCCTGTGTTCAACTGAGACCCTGGGTGTTGTGTGAGGAGAAAGTCTGAGTAGTGTTAAAATGGAGCACGACTGATTTACAAATTTTTACTGCAGTGCCATGAGTACAGGGTCTAGATTGAACAGCATCCCCTCTTGTCCAGTGATCTTGTCTTGCATGCTCTTGTGGCAATCACACATGGCTGAGCTTGACGGGACAATGTTTCAGCTTAGAAACAGGTGGGAAATGGAGAAAAAAAGTCATGAGGGATTCATCTCTAGATTCAGACACCTAAATGCAGGTGTCTGCATATAGGCCTCTAGACTTGAACTTGATGGCTACATTCCCATCAGACAAGCTGGAGATCAGCACAGCTATTCTGGTGACTAAATAAGCTGAGTTGCCTCCCTTGAATTAAGAGGATGGCGGAAAAAAGAAAAAAAGTGTTATGAGTGGAAGCTGAGATTCTCTTATAATCTCTGCATATAAAAGCTGAGCTGCAACGAAGCATTCAGTATTAGGGAATTCCTTACACGAATAAAGTTAAATGACTCCCTTTCTCTTTTTTAACCTAGAATGAGGAGCAGGGTCCAAAAAAACCTGTGCTCTTCCCTTCTATTTTCCTCGCTCCACTGCTTCCAGGGTGTTCAGCTGCTCCATCCCCATCAGATTAACATGAATGCCATGCATTCCCTTGCAGAAACATCCCTTGACCTATGCAATGACAGCCACCACACTGACCTTGCTCCTGTGGTTGTGGTCAACAGCCACGTGGGACGCACCGGGCCGGTGCTAACAAGCAAACAAAAAGGACAACTGTGCTCATATTCCTCCTCATCAATCACTCACAATAAATGCACCCATGACTGTGCAAGCTGGAGCTGGGTGTGTGCATGCCTCTTTCCATGTACCATTAATCACTGTCGGTGCTCAGTTGAAATTATCCAAAAATGTCCGATCACGGCCCCACTGATGGTGCCAGAAGCAATGACCGCCTCACTGCTTGCTCAGTGGAGCATGTGGGTCTCCAGGGGGTTCAAGTCCCCCCACCAAACAGGCAATCTGGAACGTGCCTATTCAGCCTGGTGCTTTTCTCTTTGAAACTAATATGAATTTTGATGAAGGGACTTTCTTTCTGAATCAGGATTCAACTCCACAGCCAGACTGTTGAGTTTTGTTTTTAAAACACTCTTGATTCCCAGATAAAAGATGACATTGGACCCATTAACCCCTGTGTTAAACCATCAGAGAGATTATATGGAGGGGATGGACTTGATGGTGAAGAAGCTGAGACTGGAAATTAGGCTGCCAGTTGTCAGTGGTGTGAAGTTCTGGGAACTTATAATAAGGGCAAGGTGTCTATCCTATTTTAAAAAGGAGTGTGAAAAGTCTATGGAAAAGCCTCAATGAGTTTGGAATTAGAAACTTGTGATATGAGTCCTTACGCATTTGATCTGGTGAAGATTCAAAGATGATGTCGTTGCTCTTTGTTAATTGTATTTGTTTGTAATGTAGATTATCATATTAATCTTATTGCCCTGGGCTTCCACTGCTTCTCTTCAGGAGG